AAATTAGTTCAAATAGCTATTTTTATATATTATAATTTTATATTATTTCTATATTGCCTACCTATACTAAAGATCAACCACTATTTTTAATATTAATATATAAATTCAAAATAAAGTTATATAGCAATGCATAAATCAAATTATAGAATTAAAAATTGATTTAACTTATTGAATCTTATAAATATAACTGAATATGATAAAAATTTTTTGGAGTATGCTCTAGTTCTAGATCTGATTAGCACAATGCAACACAATGTTGCGGTGCTTAAGATCAGATCAGATAAAAATAAATCGATAAGTTGCTGAGTTTAGCCAAAATCTATTGTATATTAATTCTGACTAGTATATTAAGCCAGATTGTATCATGAATTCTATAAGTTAATTTTTAATATAGCATATATATATCAAACTCAAACATGTTTATAAACTTCGAACTGAACCTGAACCAGATTTACAATCATGTTCGAGTCTGGTTTGGGTTTGGTGACTTTGCGCTCAAATTCAGATTTGAGTTTAGGATTTTTAAAATTCTTGGTTTGAGTTCAGGTTTAGTTTGGGTTCAGACCGAACTTGAACCAAACCCAGTTCAACTAAACCTAAACTTCAGAGCCCTATATACAGTATAATAAAGAGTAAAAGTGTTAATAATATATAATAAATAAGAGAAGATTAAAGTACTAAGATTTAATAATTAAGTAAATTAATTAAAAAATACTTATTATTATACCTACTAATTAAAATTAATATATAAATAATTCATATTTAGATTGACTAATAAGCAGTAACAAATAAATTAGTATCAATTATAAACTTGAATATTTTAAATAAATTAATTAAATCCATCACAAACTATCTTTATTTTTAAAATTTATATAAAAGGTTTCAGAGTATCAACTAGCTTATATTAATTTAGATTGTTTATATTTTTTAGATATTGTAAAAAAAAAAGTTATTATATTTGCAAGCTAATTAATAGATTAAATAAAGTTAATAAATAAAATAAAGTAACAAAAGATTAAAATGCTATAAATTAATAAATGAAGTAGTTAATTTAATAACTTATTTTAAATAAATTGATTAAGTGTTAAAGTCAAATTAATATAGTTAGATTATTTGATTTGATAATTTATATATAGTATACTGAGCTATTATGAAAAAGTGCAACTTTATTGATATCTTTTAAAAGTATATATTTAAAATATACATACTTATATTATATATATTTTTTAATTGAAAAACAATATATTATATATATAATTTTTAAATATTCGAGTCATTGATTTTTTTTATTTGTATGAATTAATTTCATCTACTATTTTTTTTAATAGCTTAAAATTTTTTTTATATTTCTTACACATTTAAATTTTTTTTTATATTATTGATCTTTAAGAATTTTAAGAGTTTTCTTAGTTGTGTTTATAAGTTGAGTATACAATTTCTCTGAATCTTGCATGTCTTTAGTATTTTTAGTAGCTTTAATATTTTTGTTACTTCAGTATTTTTAGTAGCTTGAATATTTTTAGTAATTTTAGCACTTTTAATAATTTTAGAACTTATTAGATTATAAAAATTAATTGTTTAATATTACTAGTTTGTATAAACAATATGCTAAGAAATGAATATTGATAATAATAATGAACTTTATCAAAAAATTCAATCAGCATATTTCCTTTTTGTTGAACAAGTGATTACAAATAAGAAAACAGCTTGTTAAAAAGAATAAATATCTATATATCCAATTTGATATATCAGTAAAATAAGTATTTTAAATTACACAAGCTTCTAATTTTTTTCATTCTTTTTTGAAAGCTTTGCACCATTCAGCCTTTTCAATACCAATTAGAATTTGGTCAAATTTTTTTTGTTGCTATCGAATTACTTGCATTATAATAGTAAAAACTACTAAATCCAAATGTGAATAAAAAAACTTATACAGAAAATCCTGTTTTAGTATCTTCCAGTAGAACTCTACAAATATATTTATTTTAAAAATTAAAATTTTTGTACTATATCCTACATGTAACTATAAGCTTCAGCATTCTGAACTATACTATTTATTCTATAAATATACCCAAAAATATATTAATAAATTTTGTTGGCAAAAAGTATAAATTTCTTGTACAGATATTGTTCAAATTTCTTATACTATTATATATTAACTATTATTGATAAGTATTAGAAGATGTAAATATAAATATCAATTCATTATCTTCTATATAGCTTCATAAAATTGCTTAGGGCAAAAAAATATAATTTGTAGTATTAAGTTGTGGATAAAATTCCAGATTAATAGAATGAAATTGATTATGTGCTATTTGACTATTATAATTAATTTGCTTTGGTTTAGTATTATTTAAAAATCTAGTTTTAATAGCCCTTTTAATATACCAAAAATATATTTGGATTTTAATATATTTCTATACAAATTTAGCAGCTGATATTTGAGAAAAATTTTTGTCTATCAAGAAAAATTCAGGATTAAGTCTAAGCAAATATAATTTATAAAAAATTTAACAAAACATCTATACATATTCTATTATTACAATTTTTATTATTTTTGAAAAATAAATATGCTAGTGAATATCCACATCCATCAACTTGTATATGAATAATATATAATTCAAATCGTAGATTATTTGTATTGTCTTTATTAACAATAAATACAATAAGTTAAATAAATAATAAATAATATACTTACAAGTTTAATCAGCTCCAATTTTATTAAATTGAATATTTGAATTTTTAATAATTACACATATTCCAGTTAAAAATTCTAGTGCTTGGGGTGATTCTTTTTAAATTATTATTCGATATGCCTTTTTAGTCAACTATTTTTGTGTTGAACTAAATACATTCATATTATGTTTATATCTTTTTTTGCCAAGTTTAGTCTACTAAAAGTAGATTTGTTTTTGATATATATTAATACTCAAGTATTGCATTATTAGATGTTTATATATTTTACATAGAAGTAAATTAATATTTTCTAAAATATATTGTTTTATTTTTGAAGAAATATAATTATCTAAATAAGATAGATGAAGATGATAATATATTTCAACTTTAGTAAGATAAAATCTTGAAAAATTATAATTGCAACTTGTTCTTAACAAAAAAATATTCAATTAATTGTCTATTATAATGTTTATTAATTTTAATATATTTTTTTAGCTTCTTAGCCAAACAATTCCTTTGTAAACAATAATAAATATAAGTTATTGAATTTGACTTTTTGATACTATATTTCAGATAGTATCTAAATAATTAAAATTATTTAATTAATATAAAATTATTTAAAAATTAAATATTATACTCAAAATAATTCTTTAACTTACAGCTATTTATATTTGTTTATATCTGATATTGCTTCAATTATAGTTCTTTAGAATCATCATCTAATATAAAAATATTTATAATACAAGAAAATTTAAATTCTAAGAGCTTTAAATTTTTTTGATTTTTATTTACCTTTTCACTTTTGAATAAATCAAAAAATTATATTATATGGTCAAAAAAATTAGAAAAATCTATAATTGTTTCATTATTATATCTTTCTCAAGGTGCTTTTTATCTTTAAACACTTTACCATATTACAAAATTCAATATATATTAATATATTAACAAATACAAAGAGATTAAAATAGGATATAGGTTAGTTAAGTTTAGAGATAATTATAGTAAAAGTTATACACTATATAGGAATTATTTGATTGCATTTGCTTTAATATAGAAACTTGAAAAGCTTATAATAATTATAATAGTTTTAAGTTGTTCGATCCTAATATCAATATAATAAGATTATATATTTACAGAAAACATGTTAATATTGGTTTTTATAACTATATTAACTCTAATTTTTTTTTCTACCTTTATTCTTATATGCAATAGAAATATCAATAATTAGAAAGACAAAGTTATAAATTTGTAAAAAAAAAATTCGATCACAACAATGCTTATAATTTTAAAGTTTATAAAAGTTAGATTAATCACTAATACTAAATATTAATATGCAAATATCAATAATATATGAGTTATATAAATAAAAGCAAAAGTAAACAATAGTAATTTATTGTATAAATTATACAAATAAAAGCAAAAGCAAACAGTATTGATTAATACAAAAGCAAATAGCAAACTAAAAAATTAATGCTAATTTATGAAAATAGCACAAGTTAGTCTTTAGAAAAATCATAACAATTGCAAATTAGCAAATATTGTGGGTTTAAGGATAGAAGCTAAACTTTCTTGTTTGGCTTGAGTTGAACTAGTATAATATGGTTGTGTCCATACTATTGTAAAATAATATATTTCTTGTGATAACTAGGTTTTTGATTGTTTGATAAAAATAAAATGCTTGTTTTGGGGTTTGTACCAAATACTGTGACTGGTATATTGAATATATCTGATGCTAATTGTGCATACTCTGAAGAATAGAACCAGTATTCTATTAGACATATTTGATTTAAATATGATAAAACTGTTATAAGGTAGTTTATATTATATCCAAGTATATTACTATATAATTCTTTTTGTTTAATTAGTTGGTCTTTTATAACAAACTTAATATCTTTTCCCTTTTCTTCATCTTTGAAAAAGCCATAGCTAACGACCTAAACCCACAATAGCCATCTAAAATTGAGTTATATATATTTAATATTATGTTTTGATAAATTTGTAAATTAGAATATATATCAACTATATTTTTCTTATCTGTATCTAATTTCGTTTTGATAAAGATTTTCTTTGAAGATTTTTTTCT